GGGATGAAACCGGAGTGCTTGTAGAAAACCCCCAGTGGTTGGGCAGGTGACCCCATACATCCGATCTGGGAATCGAACCCCAGTCTCCTTGGTAAAATGTCTTTTGTCTGATTTTTGTGATTTAAACTTGTTTTCAGCGTCTAAATTTACAGTTGTTATGTCTAGAGGGTTGTACTCATTGATGTCCTTGGGGGCAAAATGTATGAATTGCATCATTAATTATTGAATGTTTTTGTATGCTTTGATCATCTTTACTTTGCTGGTGTGTGATTGAAATAAATAAAGTTCAGGGGTTGACTGCAACATGTAGATAGTTGATGATTTTATATAGTTTTGTAAGCCTGTGTGCTAGTCGTCTGTCTGCGGTTTCAGGTCCAGAGTTCATCAGTTAGGTTACAATTAGTGTTTGCTGTAATATTTGCAAATGAATGTTACCGCATGTCATTGTAAATTTTTTAACCGGTCATTATCTTTTTGCATGTAAGGATCCCAGATAATGTCACTATATTCCAAAACTGTGCACATAAGAGTGATGAAGGCAGTTTTCTTGAAAATCATGAGGCAGAATTTTTCATTTGTAACATTATCCATGTGTTTTTTTCATTTTATTCAAAATTTTCCCTATTTTCATCTATTTTGTTTGAATTATGTTTTTGTTTGCCTTAAGTATTCTCTTAACTTTTTTCTAGGTGTTAGAGGAGAAAGGATATACTAGTGTAATACTGCAAACAGGAAGAGGAATCAGCGAACCACTAAGTGGTCAAGTGGGGAAAGTAACAGTACAACACTACCAGTACAAACCAAATATACAGGAGGACATCTCATCAGCAGACTTGGTTATCAGTCATGCTGGTATGTATATATAGCCTAGCCTAATTCACAGATCTCCCTGTAAAAGGACACACTGTTTATCAGTTTCATTAGTTTAAAGTCACACAGGTGGGTGTTTTTAGTAGATGATCAGGTAAAGTCACACAGGTGTTTGTTTGTAGACTTCGATGACCAGGTAAAGTCACACAGGTGGGTGTTTGTAGTTAATTATCAGGTAAAGTCACACAGATGGGTGTTTTTAGTAGATGATCAGGTAAAGTCACACAGGTGGGTGTTTGTAGTTGATGATCAGGTAAATTCATACAGATGGGTGTTTGAAGTAGAAAATCAGGTAAAGTCATTCAGATGGGTTCGTTTGTGTACCATCACACCTACAGTTTATACTGATTCCTGATTTTGTTCTCATCACCAACTCTTATTTGAATGAAAATATAAGACATTTTGTTTATTGCTTTCAAAGGGCCATAACAAATGGCTGGGTGGGTTATGACTGTAATAATCCAATGCATGATCAAGCATCCATCTTCAATTTTACTGATGTATCTTAGAAGCTAATGCTTGGAGCTTTAATTTTTTGCTATCTTGTTGAATTTACATGTTAATTCTTCCATGAAAAGCATGAAAGTAACACCACCACAAAAATTACCAAGTACCTTGGCATTGCTGAACTTCTTGTGATCATAAATGGAACTCCTGTCTCATCAGTAACAACATCTAAAATCTTTGTTATTGAGAAGAAGTTTTAAAATGATGTTTAACATATTTGACCCCTGTGACCTTGAAAATAGATGAAGGTCATTTGTTTGAACAAACATGGAAGCCCTTTATCCCATCATGTTACTGGCCAAATATCATTATCCTAGGCTTCTTGGTTATTCAGAAGAAGTTGTTTAAAGGTTTTATACATAGTTGACCCCTGTGACCTTGAATATAAGTCAAGGTCATTCATTTGAACAAACTCTGTAGCCCTCTATTACAGCATACTACTGGTAAAATAGCATCATCCTAGGCATCTTGTATATTGGGAAGAAGTTGTTTAAAGTTTTTAAAGATATTTGACCCTTGTGACCTTGAATATAGGTAAAGGTCATTCATTTTAACAAAACTTAGTAGCCCTTTATCCTAGCATGTTACTGCCTAAATATCATTATCCTAGGCCTAAGTTATTCAGAAGAAGTTGTTTAAAGATTTTTTAAGACAATTGACCCCTGTGATCTTGAAAATGGGTGAAGATCATTTATTTGAACAAACTTGGTAGTCCTTCATCCCAGTTTGCTTCTGGTCAAATATCATCACCCTAGGCCTTTCGGTTTTTAAGAAGAGGTCATTAAAAGTAAAAAAGTGATGCCAGACGACTTTGTGCCAGGTGAGCTAAAATCCAGTGGAGTAAATTTGACCAGGATACACAAATATTTACCTCTTAATAAGTAAAATGGTCTGGTCAGGAATATTATGTTTATGCCAGTAACAGTAACTAATATGCTATATCAAGAGTGCGGTACTTCATAAAGGCCAATGGACGTTTTGTTTTCCAGGAGCTGGGAGTTGCTTGGAGACATTGGGGGCAGGGAAGCCATTACTTGTTGTGATCAACAGTGAGCTGATGGGCAACCACCAACTAGAACTTGCCAAACAGCTGCACAAAGATGGCCACATTTATTATTGTGACTGTGGGTAAGTCATCTTATAAAATTATCATAAGACATTTTGGAAGATTTAAGAATTCCCGTACCACAGCCAAAAATATAACTACCCACTGTTTTGGCATGAGTAAAGCTTTCATCATCTTCGCAAGCCAAGGAGTAGGTAGATCGTACAGGATCGTAACCCTTGGCTAGCGAAGATAAGCCAAGGTTTACGATCCTTTACGATCCGATCTAGATCTGAGGAGTAGATAGATCCTACAGTATCGTAACCCTTGGCGAGCGAAGATAAGCCAGGGTTTACGATCCTTTACGATCTGGTCTAGATCTGAGGAGTAGATAGATCCTACAGTATCGTAACCCTTGGCGAGCGAAGATAAGCCAAGGTTTACGATCTTTTACGATCTGGTCTAGATCTGAGGAGTAGGTAGATCATACATGAGCGTAACCCTTGGCTAGCGAAGATAAGCCAAGGTTTACGATCCTTTACGATCCGATCTAGATCTGAGGAGTAGATAGATCCTACAGTATCGTAACCCTTGGCGAGCGAAGATAAGCCAAGGTTAACGATCTTTTACGATCAGGTCTAGATCTGAGGAGTAGATAGATCCTACAGTATCGTACCCCTTGGCTAGGGAAGATAAGCCAAGGTTTACGATCCGTTACGATCGGGTCAGATCTGAGGAGTAGGTAGATGGTACAGGATCGTAACCCTTGGCTAGTGAAGATAAGCCAAGGTTTACTATCCGTTAGGATCGGGTCAGATCTGAGGAGTAGGTAGATGGTACAGGATCGTAACCCTTGGCAAGCGAAGATAAGCCAAGGTTTACAATCTGTTACGATCGGGTCAGATCTGAGGAGTAGGTAGATGGTACAGGATCGTAACCCTTGGCAAGCGAAGATAAGCCAAGGTTTACAATCTGTTACGATCGGGTCAGATCTGAGGAGTAGGTAGATGGTACAGGATCGTAACCCTTGGCTAGTGAAGATAAGCCAAGGTTTACAATCTGTTACGATCCGGTCTAGATCTGAGGAGTAGGTAGATTGTACAGGATCGTAACCCTTGGCTAGGGAAGACAAGCCAAGGTTTACAATCCGTTATGATCTGGTCTAGATCTGAGGAGTAGGTAGATCCTACAGTATCGTAACCCTTGGCGAGCGAAGATAAGCCAAGGTTTACGATCCGTTACGATCCGGTCTAGATCTGAGGAGTAGGTAGATCCTACAGTATCGTAACCCTTGGCGAGCGAAGATAAGCCAAGGTTTACGATCCATTACGATCCGGTCTAGATCTGAGGAGTAGGTAGATGGTACAGGATTGTAACCCTTGGCTAGCGAAGATAAGCTCTCATTAACTATTTCTTAAAGTAAAGCTTTACCCAGTGGTACTTAAAAGCAAAAAACTAAAGATGGAAAAATAAAATATCAAATTCAGTGGGACTAGCCTGGAATTCAACCCTAGACTTGAGATTGTTATACTACGCTCTAACTGACTGAGCTACCATGTCAATCAACAGTCCTAGACTAACTGTGCTACAGTTATATCCAAAATGTTTGATACAGCAACGTGAGTATCAACTTGTCCATACTACAAATTCTGAACTGTTGAAGAGATATATCTCTTCATGAAAATGATGAAGTCAAATAGTGTAAATTGTATTGGAGTGTTTATTATATATATTGGTTTCTTTCATCAAAGTCAAATCATAGATGTCAAAAATTGAGTATGCCATTTACATTTGGGGTTGGCAGGCGTTTGGGAAGGGATTGGTTAATGTATGATTTTATAGTGAAGATGGTCGTCCATGTAAAATTTCCTCAACTACCATTGTGGATGTCTTACTGATAGTTATGTGTATGTGATGACATTTCGTACTCTTGTTGTCTCCCTAGGCACCCCTTAGCCGTTAAATCTCTAACATGTAAGCAACTTGTAAAGCTATATCATCAGTGAGAAAATGTTAAGTAAGGAAAGTAACATCCTGATGAGTTTAATTTTTACTAAACAACAAATCTAGGCAAAGACACTGTACTGTGAAAAATAATCGTGAGTGCATCATACAATGTGGACATAAGATACCCAAGAGCTTAATGCATACTGAGGAGGCCTGTGTCTACTTACAATTAATACAACACTGCGGTCAGTGCCTTAGACAATAATTGTGCTAATTATGCAACCACCATCCCTCAGATTTCTAATGTAATCATTGGTTGTATTTGTATACTTCAAGATCGACATGCTTCCTCAAATGACAAAATATCATTGATTCATTGCATGTGTACATACAAAATATTTGGACAAACGTACACCGAAAAACAGCTCACCGATGTTTTCATCTGTCAGAGGACCAGTCAGTATGCATACATACCATTAGATCACAAAATTCTCCCAGTGTAAATAACAACATCTACACCAAATCAATTTCCTCATGATGGTAAAAATGTATAACCCTAAAGTCAAGGTCACCTGTAAGTGATGGATGATAAGTATAACCCTAAAGTCAAGGTCACCTGTAAGTGATGGTAAAAATGTATAACCCTGAAGTCAAGGTCACCTGTAGTTGATGGCTAAAATGAATAACACTGAAGTCAAGGTCACATGTAAGTCATGAATGGAATGTCAAACCCTGAAGTCGAGATCACCTGTAAGTTATGGTTAAAATGTATAACCCTAAAGTCAAGGTCACCTGTAAGTGATCGTTAAAATGTATAACCCTTAAGTCAAGGTCACCTGTAAGTGATGGATGATAAGTATAACCCTAAAGTCAAGGTCACCTGCAAGTGATGGATGATAAGTATAACCCTAAAGTCAAGGTCACCTGCAAGTGATGGATGATAAGTATAACCCTAAAGTCAAGGTCAACTGTAAGTGATGGTAAAAATGTAAAACCCTGAAGTCAAGGTCACCTGTAAGAGCTGGTAAAAATGTAAAACCCTGAAGTCAAGGTCACCTGTAGTTGATGGCTAAAATGAATAACCCTGAAGTCAAGGTCACATGTAAGTCATGAATGGAATGTCAAACCCTTGAGTCAAGGTCACCTGTAAATTATGGTTAAAAAGTTTATCTCTGAAGTCCAGGTCACCTGTAAGTTATGGTTAACATGTATAACTCTGAAGTCAAATTTACCAGTAAGTGATGATTAAAATGTATAATTCTGAAGTCAAAGTCACCTGTAAGTTATGGTTAAAATGTGTTACCCTGAAGTCAAGGTCACCTGTAGTTGATGGCTAAAATGAATAGCCCTGAAGTCAAGGTCACATGTAGGAGCTGGTAAAAATGTAAAACCCTGAAGCAAAGCTCGCCTGTAGTTGATGGCTAAAATGAATAGCCCTGAAGTCAAGGTCACATGTAGGAGCTGGTAAAAATGTAAAACCCTGAAGTCAAGGTCACATGTAAGTCATGAATGGAATGTCAAACCCTTGAGTCAAGGTCACCTGTAAATTATGGCTAAAATGTTTATCTCTGAAGTCCAGGTCACCTGTAAGTTATGGTTAAAATGAATAACCCTGAAGTAAAAGTTACCAGGAAGTTATGGTTAAAATGTATTAACCTGAAGTCAAGGTCACCTGTAAATTATGGCTAAAATGTTTATCTCTGAAGTCCAGGTCACCTGTAAGTTATGGTTAAAATGAATTAACCTGAAGTCAAGGTCACCTGTAACAGCTGGTAAAAATTTATAACCCTGAAATCAAGGTCACCTGTAGGTGATGGCTAAAATGTATAACCCTGAAGTCAAGGTCACCTGTAAGAGCTGGTAAAAATGTATAACCCTGATGAAGTCAAGGTCACCTGTAGTTGATGGCTAAAATGAATAACACTGAAGTCAAGGTCACATGTAAGTCATGAATGGAATGTCAAACCCTTGAGTCAAGGTCACCTGTAAATTATGGTTAAAAAGTTTATCTCTGAAGTCCAGGTCACCTGTAAGTTATGGTTAACATGTATAACTCTGAAGTCAAATTTACCAGCAAGTGATGATTAAAATGTATAATCCTGAAGTCAAAGTCACCTGTAAGTTATGGTTAAAATGTGTTACCCTGAAGTCAAGGTCACCTGTAACAGCTGGTAAAAATTTATAACCCTGAAATCAAGGTCACCTGTAGGTGATGGCTAAAATGTATAACCCTGAAGTCAAGGTCACCTGTAGTTGATGGCTAAAATGAATAACCCCGAAGTCAAGGTCACATGTAAGTCATGAATGGAATGTCAAACCCTGGATTCAAGGTCACCTGTAAATTATGGCTAAAATGTTTATCTCTGAAGTCCAGGGCACCTGTAAGTTATGGTTAAAATGAATTAACCTGAAGTCAAGGTCACCTGTAACAGCTGGTAAAAATTTATAACCCTGAAATCAAGGTCACCTGTAGGTGATGGCTAAAATGTATAACCCTGAAGTCAAATTTACCAGTAAGTTATTGTTAAAATGTATAACTCTGAAGTCAAGGTCACCTGTAAGTTAGTCAAGGTCACCTGTAAGTTATGGTAAAAATGTATAACCCTGAAATCAAGGTCACCTGTAGGTGATGGCTAAAATGTATAACCCTGAAGTCAAATTTACCAGTAAGTTATTGTTAAAATGTATAACTCTGAAGTCAAGGTCACCTGTAAGTTATGGTTAACATGTATAACCCTGAAGTCAAATTTACCAGTAAGTGATGATTAAAATGTATAATCCTGAAGTCAAAGTCACCTGTAAGTTATGGTTAAAATGTGTTACCCTGAAGTCAAGGTCACCTGTAAATTATGGTTGAAATGTATTACCCTGAAGTCAGTGTCACCTGTAAGTTATGGTTAAAATGTATAACTCTGAAGTCAAGGTCACCTGTAAGAGCTGGTAAAAATGTAAAACCCTGAAGTCAAGGTCACATGTAGGAGCTGGTAAAAATGTAAAACCCTGAAGTCAAGGTCACATGTAGGAGCTGGTAAAAATGTAAAACCCTGAAGCAAAGCTCGCCTGTAGTTGATGGCTAAAATGAATAGCCCTGAAGTCAAGGTCACATGTAAGTCATGAATGGAATGTCAAACCCTGAAGTCGAGATCACCTGTAAGTTATGGTTAAAATGTATAACCCTGAAGTCAAATTTACCAGTAAGTTATTGTTAAAATGTATAACTCTGAAGTCGAGATCACCTGTAAGAGCTGGTAAAAATGTATAACCCTAAAGTCAAGGTCGCCTGTAAGTTATGGTTAGCATGTATAACTCTGAAGTGAAATTTACCAGTAAGAGATGATTAAAATGTACAATTCTGAAGTCAAAGTCTCCTGGAAGTTATGGTTAAAATGAGTATTGTCCCAAAGTATTGGCACAACTATAAATGGAGGATATGTATAACCCTAAACTCAAGGGCACCTGTAAGTTATGATGAAAATGTATAACCCTTAAGTCAAGGTCACCTGCAAATTATGGTTAAAATGTGTTACCCTGAAGTCAAGGACACATGTAAGTCATGAATGCAATGTCAAACCCTGGAGTCAAGGTCACCTGCAAATTATGGTTAAAATGTAAAACCCTGAAGTCAAATTTACCTGTAAGTGATGATTAAAATGTACAATTCTGAAGTCAAAGTCTCCTGGAAGTTATGGTTAAAATGTTTATCTCTGAAGTCCAGTTCACCTATAAGTTATGGTTGAAATGTATTTCCCTGAAGTCAAGGTTCCCTTTTAGATATGATTAAAATGTATAATCCTAAAGTAAAGGTCACCAGTAAAATTGGTTAAATATTAATACCCCAAAGTAAAGGTCACCTGTAAGGTTAGGGTTAACATGTATAACCCTGAAGTCGAGATCCCCTGTAAGTTATGGTTAACATGTACAACTCTGAAGTCAAATTTACCTGTAAGTGATGATTAAAATGTATAAGCCTAAAGTCAAGGTCACCAGTAAAGTTGGTTAAATATTCATGTCCCCAAAGTCAAGGTCACTTTTAAAGATGTTTAAATATTCATATACCCAAAGATAAGGTCATCAGTAAAGATGGTTAAATTTTCATATCCCCAAAGTCAAGGTCATCAGTAAAGATGGTTAAATTTTCATATCCCCAAAGTCAAGGTCACTTGTAAATATGGTTAAATATTCACATCCTCAAAGTCAAGGTCACTTGTAAGTTATGGTTAAAATTAATAACCCTGAAGTAAAGGTCACCTGTAAGTTATGATGAAAATGTATAACCCTGAAATCAAGGTCACCTGTAAATTATGGTTGAAATATATTACCCTGAAGTCAAGGACACATGTAAGTCATGAATGGAATGTCAAACCCTGGAGTCAAGGTCACCTGTAAGAGATCGTTAAAATGTATAACCTGGAAGTCAAGGTCACCAGTAAGGTATGGATAAAATGTATAACCATGAAGTCAAGGTCACATGTAAGTCATGAATGGAATGTCAAACCCTGGAGTCAAGGTCACCTGCAAGTTATGGTTAAAATGGGTAACCCTGAAGTCAATGTCACTTGTAAGTTATGGTTAGCATGTATAACTCTGAAGTGAAATTTACCAGTAAGTGGTGATTAAAATGTATAACCATGAAGTCAAGGTCACTTGTAAATATGGTTAAATATTCACATCCTCAAAGTCAAGGTCACCAGTAAGGTATGGATAAAATGTATAACCATGAAGTCAAGGTCACTTTTAAAGATGTTTAAATATTCATATACCCAAAGATAAGGTCATCAGTAAAGATGGTTAAATTTTCATATCCCCAAAGTCAAGGTCCCCTGTAAGTCATGGTTAACATGTATAGCTCTGAAGTCAAATTTACCTGTAAGTGATGATTAAAATGTACAATTCTGAAGTCAAAGTCACCTGTAAGTTAGGGTTAACATGTATAACCCTGAAATCAAGGTCACCTGTAAGAGCTGGTAAAAATGTATAATCCTAAAGTAAAGGTCACCTGTAAGGGATCGTTAAAATGTATAACTCTGAAGTCAAGTTTACCAGTAAGCGATGATTAAAATGTATAATTCTGAAGTCAAAGTCTCCTGGAAGTTATGGTTAAAATGGGTAACCCTGAAGTCAAGGACACATGTAAGTCATGAATGGAATGTCAAACCCTGGAGTCAAGGTAACCTGTAAATTATGGTTGAAATGTATTTCCCTGAAGTCAAGGTCGCCTGTAAGTTATGGTTAGCATGTATAACTCTGAAGTGAAATTTACCAGTAAGAGATGATTAAAATGTATAACCTGGAAGTCAAGGTCACCTATTGGTTATGGTTAAAATGTGTTACCCTGAAGTCAAGGTTCCCTTTTAGATATGATTAAAATGTATAATCCTAAAGTAAAGGTCACCTGTAAGAGCTGGTAAAAATGTATAATCCTAAAGTAAAGGTCACCTGTAAGGGATCGTTAAAATGTATAACTCTGAAGTGAAATTTACCAGTAAGTTATAGTTAAAATGTATAACTCTGAAGTGAAATTTACCAGTAAGTGGTGATTAAAATGTATAAGCCTAAAGTCAAGGTCGCCTGTAAGTTATGGTTAGCATGTATAACTCTGAAGTGAAATTTACCAGTAAGAGATGATTAAAATGTACAATTCTGAAGTCAAAGTCTCCTGGAAGTTATGGTTAAAATGTTTATCTCTGAAGTCCAGGTCACCTATAAGTTATGGTTGAAATGTATTACCCTGAAGTCAAGGTTCCCTTTTAGATATGATTAAAATGTATAAGCCTAAAGTCAAGGTCACCAGTAAGGTATGGATAAAATGTATAACCATGAAGTCAAGGTCACATGTAAGTCATGAATGGAATGTCAAACCCTGGAGTCAAGGTAACCTGTAAATTATGGTTAAAATGTTTATCTCTGAAGTCCAGTTCACCTATAAGTTATGGTTTAAATGTATTACCCTGAAGTCAGTGTCACCTGTAAGTTATGGTTAGCATGTATAACTCTGAAGTCGAGATCACCTGTAAGCGCTGGTAAAAATGTATAATCCTGAAGTCAAAGTCACCTGTAAGTTATGGTTAACATGTACAACTCTGAAGTCAAAGTTACCAGTAAGTGATAATTAAAATGTATAATTCTGAAGTCAAAGTCACCTGTAAGTTATTGTTAAAGTGTATAACTCTGAAATCGAGATCACCTGTAAGAGCTGGTAAAAATGTATAACCCTGATGAAGTCAAGGTCACCTGTAAGTTATGGTTAAAATGTATAACCCTGAAGTCAAGGTCACCTGTAAGTTATGATTAAAATGTATAACCCTAAACTCAAGGTCACCTGTAAGTTATGGTTAAAATGTATAACCCTGAAGTAAAAGTTACCAGGAAGTTATGGTTAAAATGTATTAACCTGAAGTCAGGGTCACATAACGTAAGTAATGGTTATAATGTCAAACCCTGAAGTCAAAGGTTACCAGTAAGTTATAGTTAAAATGTATAACCTTGAAGTCAACTTCTAGGCGTCTAGAAAGTGACAGTTAAATGTGCATATACCAAGAGTCTTGGCACCAGTAAAGATGTTTGAATATTCATATTCTCATAGTCAAGGTCACCAGTAAAGATGGTTAAATATTCATATCCCCAAAGTCAAGGTCACTTGTAAAGCTGGTTTAATATTCATAACCCCATAGTCAAGTTCACTTGTAAAAATGGTTAAATATTCACATCTTCAAAGTCAAGGTCACCAGTAAAGATGGTTAAATATTCATGTCCCCAAAGTCAAGGTCATCAGTAAAGATGGTTAAATATTCATATTCCCAAAGTCAAGGTCACTTTTAAAGATGGTTAAATATTCCAATCCCCAAAGTCAAGTCCACTTGAAAAGATTGTTCAATATGCACATCCCTCAAGTCAAGGTCACCAGTAAAGATGGTTAAGTATTCATATCCCCAATGTCAAGGTCACCAGTAAAATTGGTTAAATATTAATACCCCAAAGTAAAGGTCACCAGTAAAGGTGATTTAGTATTTATATCCCTAAAGTCAGGGTTTACTTGTAATTCACATAAGTGATTGTTTAATAGGCATAAATACCTTAAGTCAAGGTCACCACAACAGGTGAGCAATACAGGGCTATTTGGACTTTTGATGAAAAATTGTTTTAAAGCTTGATTTTTATTAAGATTATGCAGATTATACTATGGTACATCTTTCTGTGGTTATTAATAGACATGTTTCTATTGTTTCAGATCCCTTCTTCAGACTCTAAGGGAGATTAACTTAGACAATCTAAAACCATTCAAAAAAGGTGATCCTTCAAAATTTGCTGCTTTCCTTGACACTAAAATGGGATTTTCCTGACAGAGGATGGATCAAAATCTGTTTTTCCTTTAGTTGTTACAATTATCCATTGAAGTTGTACCACCATACCGGATTTGTTGACATGATGTGTCATCTAACTGGAATTTATTGTTTGTCAACATCAGTACTGAAACAAGTTCTTAAAGAATTTATTCGGAAAAAAAACCCCAGCGACTTCAACGTTTTAAGAAAAGAAGAGAAATATTTACCATACAACACGGATTCCTTAGGAAAGAAGACTAACAACTTCAACGTTTAAAGAAAAGAAGAGAGATGTTTAACCCTTTCACCCCTAGGAAGCTTTGCTAGACTCTACCATACATTTATTTGGATGAGTCCATTATGGTCTATAGTGGTGAAAAGGTTAAAGGATGAACATGAATTATTTTGAATTGTCAGATCTACTGACTTTCCCATTTTCAAACTCATTGGATAAACCTGCTAGGAGTTGGTAAACATTTTTCTCTCACAACCACTGTAGGTTTCCTCATTTCTGACTTACTGGATAAACCTGCTAGGAGTTGGTAAACATTTTTGGTTACCTACTAGTGGGTGATTGCATTGGTCAATTCATTACTTATGAACGTCACGTAACAATGCTTTACGAAGTCATCTTCCATTGTGACGTCATGATTCACGGCTAATAGTTTCCCCATAGAAAGCCGACATAGTGTATTTTCAAGGGAATCATATGGCTTTCCAGGTATAAAATATGAACGTTATGGGAGAAAGAGGACCCCAAACTCGTGATGGTAGATTATCATGTTTATCCAACTCCGTTGTGTCTTTATTAATTTGAAAATTATCTAATTCGAGTTGGATTAATATGATAAACAACCATCACTCGTTGGGGAACCTCTATACCCACTAGTGGGTAACTTACTGGACGCTATTTCATTGGTCAGTCTTCTAACTATAACGTAAAGTTACTATTTTTTTAGCAAAATGTTTTTGTGATATTTTCTTGGAGAACCAAATATGGCTCAAAGACGGACAGATCTTGGAATGGCAGAGTTATGTAAGTGTGAGGTGGAAGGGTTTTTAGTGTATGTCATAAAATTACAGAATTGAAATGCTTATTGAATAAGCGTTATGTTATAGAATAAAAGGTCAGCTAATTGAATACATGAAAACATTTGATTGAGTTTAAAAAACAATTTGGACAGATGTAGAGATAAGATTAATGGTATGAATGTATAAATAAATTAAGAAATTAACAACAGCATTTGAATGGAAAATGAATTTACTTCATTGTCAGGACAACTGCATCCTCGATACCCAGAGTAAACGCTCACTTTCGCTCTCTGCACCCCTGGAATATTTCATAGCAAAATCGAAGGCTCGGTGTACGCCACTTTGTGGTCGAAACGAGTAGACTAGTTCGATCCTTTGATGTACATCAAAAGAATCTTGCGGTCACGCAACGGTTACCTGACACCAATCAAATAGCTTGCCGCGTGCCTTCAATATTGCTTTGGCATATTCCAGGGGTGTAGAGAGCGAAAGTGCGCGTAACCCCTGGGGTATCGAGGATGTCGGAAAGGGCACTCAAAGGGATACAAAGATTGTTTTATAAAAAAAAAACGACGAGAATACCGCAGTGTCAGTAATACCGTAATTCGAACTCAAATTTGATAAAACTAAGGCAGAATATGAACAAAAGAAAACGTGTAGTAAATAGAGCAGAATAAGACCTGATGCTCCGGAAGGGTGAGCGTCTTCTGCTTCATAGACGACTCCGGTCATGTATATCTTGGTCAAATGCAAGTAACGTATACAGTTAGTGAAAGAATCCGTTAGTAAACCAATCAAGGAAAAGAGCAAATCAAAAAGCTAGAAGGTCATGCCATACGTAAAGATTATCCACAACCAGGCAGAAGATAGTCTGTTGCTATGGCTGCTATGGCATAGCAACAGCAATGATTCCCAACAAATGCTTCGTAATATCCTGGATGACACTCGGATAGAAACAGCTAAATGAAACGTTGCAAAAAGCGTGTACAAGATCGGATTCAAGAACTGCGAGGCATTTTGTATTGGAGAAACTGGTAGGTGATTTTTGGTCAGACTTTGTGAACACATGAAAATACGGAAACCAGCATAAAACTATGAACTGATCACCTGTGTTCAACAATATATCATAGCTACTAAACCTTTTTGATGATAAAGATGTTACATCTCTTAAAATATCAAAATGGACATGTACTGTACAGGAGTAGTTTTTAAAAATGCTTTATAATATATATTTGTGAATCTTAAGTGCTTAAATATGAATTAGCAACTGTATTTTATTGTTGAAACTACTTCATGATATAATTTATAAATATGAAGAAGTATCTGTAATTGTTTAACCTTTTTATCTCCAAGCATTTTTCCATATCTTGTTTCTGTTACACTTGTGAATTTGCTCAGTGTTTTTGAAATGAATATACAGGAACCCAAAAGGGAGAGAAATTCACGCAATCAAAAGTAATCAATCGGAGTCACAAATCAATAAGTCAGTATACTCACAAATTACACAACACAGCAAAATCATGTTATTTAATGGGAAAACTCATTTGTATGTCGTAGAGGAGCGACTTCTTCAAACGGCAGAGATAATAATCCGTCTAGATGTGCCAGAGAGGGCCAGTTCTTTAATTCATAGGCAGGTTGCAAAACCATTTTTGCATCCTATATGATTACAGAAAATACCTTAAATATGTTTGGTAATTTTCTAATTCCAAATTATTTTCAATCATAATTCTTTCAGTAAAGGATCGTTTGTATAACTGGAGGCAGGTCATTTAAAATTAATCTCCTAAAGTTGACCCTCTATCTAACGCATCTTTCACCCCGTGTCGAAAACACCTTTTCTTGTTCAATGGGGAATAATGCCATGCCTTATTCCGTGTTATATATGTATTCTTCTAAATAAGCAATTGTTTCGACAAACCAAGCTTTTTTCAAGCTTCCCAATTTTGCCTGTGAATATAAAGTAACAATGTTTCCAGAAATTGTAGGTCCTACACCGAGATGCACCTTAGCCGGTCTTAAATCTTCACAGAGTTGCAGGTCGTTGTTTGTTCCTCCTCAATAAACATTTAAACAGTATTTACAAAAACAGTTTTGGATGGCATTAATGATCTAAGTTCCCTTATCATCACTAACTAAAACAGTATACAATAAATGAGCGAACTTCCTAAATCGTTTCGCGTTTCCTCACTACCATCCTCGATATCCAGGGGGTTCATGCACTTTTGCTCTCTGCATCCCTGTAATATGTCATAGCGAAATCGAAGGCTCAGTGTGCACCATCATGTGGATGACATGAGCAGATTAGTTTGATCATTTGAGGTACATCAAAAGAATATGTCGGTCGCGTAACGGTATACTATTGACTGACTTTGAAGTCGGGTGTCGATCCTCTGAAATCTGCAAAGGACAGGTATTAGCCTTAACGATTGGTCAGGAGTTTTCCCCTGACACTAATCAAATAGCTAGTAGCGTGCCTTCATTTTTTATATGACATATTCCTGGGGTGAAGAGAGCTAAAGTGAAAGCAAATTAGTGCCTAGATTACGTCATGACAGCGCTAGTTTTCCATGATATATAGAAATACAAGAATTTATATCCGTGTGTCTTACCTATAAACGGAGCGGATGAAACGAGCGAGAACCCCTGTGCAAAGATGGCTATTCCCATAGCATTTCGGAAGTTCTCAAATCCAAGCATATCTATTAATATGGCTGGTGTCAGAGCAAATATTCCTCCAGCAAATAACCCATGGAGAATTGAATATAGCAACAACGACCAGAATTCTTGAAAGAGATGTGCTAGCAGCATCATTAGCCCAGTAATGAGAACAGTCAGGCTGGTGACACGATAACTGGTCATCAACCTTCGATCAACAACAGCGCCACAAATAAGTCTTCCAATGACGTCACATCCGCTCAATGTAGACACTAATAACGTTATCTGACCAGAATTGATGCCAATGTCGCGTGCTAGGGCCGTGATGTAAATATGGCCATAAGCCGATCCTATACTCCCCATGCAGTAGACGAACAGGAATAACACCATGACGGGATTCCGGAGAAGTGACAGGTCGTTTAAGATTACCGACAGGCACGATTTTCTTTCCCTGTCCGGGCCGTTTAAATCACCTGTCGTCTCTTGTGCAGAGAAATCTGCAGAAGCCTGCAGTTGGGAAATATCTGTTAGAGAGTTAGTGAACAAATCACCATGACTAGGAAATAAGGTATATTGCGAACCTTTGGCTTTTCTCACAACACCGGATGTTTGCAACGTTTGTCTTGATTCAGAATCAAGGGGAAGTACCTCTGTGTCTTCAGTATACAGATGGTATTCTTTGCAATGTTGGTTGCCGTCTGTGTGATCAGTGCACTCATGTATCGCCATGGAGATACTACTGGTTCCTGGATGTTTGTCAAATTTAGAGACATTCGAGTTTCGAATATAATCGTTACCACTTAACCGTTTCCGATAAGAATTTTGTGATGTCTCAAACATTCTTACGTGATGGTCCATCTCGTTATCAATATCGTCTAATTTTGATTTAGCTAACAAATCATTACCGATTGGTTTTACACCAGAATCTGAAATATTTTTCGGACAATACGAGCTATGTTTATGGTGGGCAGAACAAGCCATATTTCCTGCAGACAATTGGCATGGCTCATCATTGAAAAATTCGCCTTGATGTTTGCCATTTGTGATGGGACCATCATCCTCTTTGTTTTCTTTCATTAAATGAACGTCTTGATTGCCGGGTTGGATGTAGTAAGTTGGTGGGCGCATCAACATGGCACCAATCGATGTGTGAAAGATCACTGCTGACGTGAGGAGTAGAGCTCCGCGAAGGCCGTAAGTCTCAAGAAGGTTCTGGAAGAGTGATGGTAGAACGAGACCACCGATACTTCCACCTGCTGCCATACAAGCATTTGCTAGGCTTCGCCTCTTCTCAAAGTATTGACCGATGACGTTAGTGCTAGGTCCATGGAAAAATCCTAAAGCAATCCCTGAAAAATATACACATTAGTTGTTAAATAGAAATAGTTGTATGCATCGTTTATTAGGATACCATTTAAGAAAAATACAAATGACAACATTAATTTGTTATTCAACCCGTAGTACCTTGTTCCATCCTCAATACTCCAGAGCAGAATTGAAGGCACGAAGCTGGTTATTTGAATGGTGTCAGGTAAAAAAAATCCTGACCAATCGCTAGGCTGATACCTGTACTTTGAACATAACAGAGGAGCGACACCCGACTTCAAACCCAGTCAATTTTACCGTTACGCGACCGACACATTCTTTTGATGTTTATCAAAGGATCAAACTAGTCTTCTCGTCTCATCAACAAGGTGATGCACACAGAGCCTTTAATTTTGCTATTACATATTCCAGGGGTGCAGAGAGCGAAAGTGAGCGTAACCCCTGGAGTATCGAGGATGATTTTAAAAGAAAGCATGTTGAACATGAAGGCGGGTAATGATGAGTCAGGTTTAAAGAAAATATAATATGCGTACAAAGAACGGTTGTAAGTATGTAATAATAGCAGAACCGCATATATATGTTCATCTGGTATCTCAGAGTTTACTCGTTATTGTGCGAGTAGATATATTGTATTTTGGCTTGAACCATCCGGAAATATATCCATACTCACAGTGCACTTCTGCAATCTGAAATGGCAGATAAATACACGTGTGGTGTTGCATAAGGTTGATTCATGACACAGATCATAGTTATTTAACTTGTTGAATGTGTTGTATGTACTGAACATTGATTGCTGTTTGCCAGCAGTTTTTCAGAAGGCATCAAAATATACTAAATAAATCAGTCACATTCATACTTAATAGATAAACTAAACCTCTTCCGTTCAGATGTTTCCACCATTTGGATTTTTTGTCACTTGGATGTCTGATTCTAAGTTCTTAACTAGAGACGATACGCTAGTAGTAAAATGCAGTCGAGAAATTCGTCATAAAAAATTAGCCGGTCTAGGTAAAGGAGCAAAAACGTCTTTTTTGCTGATAAATCAAGACAACTTTTTATTCGTAGAAACATAGAACACATTCTTTGTCAGTAGATGATTAATCAGACAACTTTATTCTTCGTAGATTAACCGAACCCATTCTTTCTCAGGAGATACATAACATTATTTGTTATTAATACGAGTAAATAAACTATAACCATCTTCTTTCCAAAACAGTGCATTGTAAGACGGATGGATTACCAGGATTTTTGCAAAGCGCAACAAACGTTAGACACACAGGTGATTGCACCTAAACAATGAAAAATATGCATATATATTATTTCAAAATATGTCAAAACAATGAAAAAATCGAAATGCTCTATCAAACCCTTTATCCGTAGTTTCAAACCCAGATTATATAAACTTATTTTTTTACAAAAATTATGAAACAAGTTATTTCAACTTATATTAATAACTCTTGTTGGCCAGGATTTAGCGCGCATGGGGTCTCTATGTGGGAGGAAACCGGAATACCCGGAGAAAACCTACGTGGTCGGGTGACCCCATTCATTTCACGTCCGATCAGGGAATGAAACCCCGGCCGAATTGATGAAAGGCAGGTGCGTTATTCACTGCGCCACCCGACCACCTACTCCAGATTAGTTGAGGCTTTGCTAAATGTATCTCGGCTCTTTACCGGTGCACCTGAAAATGTGTTAACTAGTCCAAGTTTCCTCTGGCCGTGACACCAGACTTTAGACATTTTGACAAACACCAGACATTTATCTGTCAAAATGTCTTACGTCTGGTGTCAGGGCCAAAGGAAACCCGAGTTACTTGTTAACATACACAGCACAAGACGCATTTGCTGCTAACAACTGACTTTGATATATTTTAACAAATAAGATTCCTAAGATAAGTTTTGTTAAATCTAGTTCTGTTCTCTCCTCTGTCGGTACTAGAGGTCACATGAGATGCGTGCGCATGCGTACAGTCATAGCGTGATTGTTTACAGTCATTGAAAGCACGTTGTTTTGTTTAGAAACATTTTGCATTGTTTTTCGGCGTTCAAAACTCTCTATTTGTGCATTTTGATCGCTACGACGATTTGTAGTGTGACTACAGAACAGTTTATCGTAGTGTTTTGGTCCGATAGAGAAGTTGTCGGTTGTCGGTCTAGTGAATAATGCCCTGACGAAAAGCATAGCGGAGGACAAGCTGAAACAAAAATTGTCTGCCTACCCATGTCCGGTGAACATTTAAGCCCTGCAGAGCCCAAGAGTAAATCCGGAGGTATGGAGAAAAAATAAAATTCCTACCAAAAGCCAGGATGTTAAATTCCAACAAATGCATACACGAATGACGAAGGGATTAACTCCCCTTGTGACATGTGCGAGCTGATACAGAATGATAAAACTGTCGACAGAGTACAATGCAGTGCGGAAACCAGAGGTACCGTCCTTACCAGGTTCCACATAAAAAGTATTATGAGTCGGAGCGTGGCGGCCACAGTGGCCGAGAACATTACTCTTACCGTGGGGCCTACAATCAGGGCCAGCAATCCCACAAGAAGTCAAAAACCTTCAAGAAGGGGGCGGACAGAAAACAGTAACAACCACAACGCTGAAGGCTGTTGAGCCCCCGAATGCACGGGTAAGTTTACCTGCTATTGACTGGCAACATTTTTAACCAAAAATATGACAACAATGTTGTTTAAAGTTGAATATTTTCAAGCTGGGAATGTAAAAAGTTGCATTACTTACTGGGAAAGTTAAACATCTGATCCAGTTATTTTAAGCGCTATCAGAAAGGGGCTGAAAATTGAATTTACTGTTGATGAACCAATGTCAAACATTACACATTTTCACGAACATAAGTTTGGTCAGAAGGAACGACTTATAATTAGTGATGAATTAGATAAATTGTTGAAAAAACAAGTCATTGTTAGAGTTCAATCAGCCCAGGATGAAGTTTTCTCGAATATTTTCACTAGGCCAAAAAAGGATGGTACATTTAGATTGATTCTCAATTTAAAATATCTGAATGAGTTTGTTTTATACAGACACTTCAAAATGGAAACGTTGAAAACCGCACTCAATCTCGTTTCAAAAGATTGCTACATGGCATCTATTGACTGGAAGGATGCATACTATTCCATTCCCATTCATGAACATTTTCAAAAATTTCTTCAATTCAAATTTGAGGGATAAATTTACCAGTTAACAACTCTACCTAACGGTTTGGCGTGTGCGCCACGCATGTTCACAAAAATAACAAAACCATTTTTTGCTGGGGGATAGCATACAGGAATGTCGACATCATGTTGTTGAAACAGTACAAAGTTCTGCTCAAGCAGGGCTTGTGGTGCATCCCATCAAGTCCATTTTTCAACCTTCTCAGATTATTGAGAATTTAGGGTTTATTATCAATTCAAAGGATATGACAATATCACTGACACAGAGCAAGAAAACCAAATGGTTACAGCTGTGTACACAATAACATGATACAACACAGACCACCATTCAGGTAGTAGCCCAATGTATAGGTCATATCAAAGCGACTTTGCCAGGTGTACAGCATGGACAACTCTATTATCGCCAGCTAGAACAAGAGAAGATAATTCACTTCAAATGGCAATCATGCCTATTTCGTTAGAGGCTAAAATTGAACTGTATTGGTGGACAAAAAACCTGCCGAACGCATCATGTAAAATAGTTCAAAAGTTTCCTACAATCTTTTTAACAATTGATGCATCAAAAATCGGTTGGGGGTGTCATGGAGACTAACGGCACTTCAATCAGCACAGGGGGAAATTGGTCAGTGACTGAGGCATTAGAGCATATCAATTTCCTAGAGTTTAAATTCTATGGGTGGTAAAACCTCCCAATGTTACAAGTAGCCAAACACATATGGGAGTGGTGTTTAGAAAGAGACATTTGGTTGTCAGCTGCACACATTCCTAGAAAATAAAATGTAGACGCAGATAAGTTAAGTCGACTTAATCATGAAACTACTGAGTGGAAATTAAACACGATGATTTTTAAAGCCATCCTTGATGTCTTGGGCTTAACCGACCTTGATTTGTTTGCATCTAGGCTTAACGCAAAACTTCCAAATTATGTTTCAAGGAAACCTGATCCATTTGCATTCACTGTTGATGTTTTTTCTATGATGTGGGACAAGAACATGTATATGTTCCCACCATTTTCACTAATTGGTAAAATTCTAAAAAAAAATACGCCAGATGTAACATTGATAGTGCCACATTGGCCTACTCAATCATGGTTTTCAAAACTATCAAAACACCTTGTTGATTGTATTTTACCTAGGGATCATCGGACATTGTCTTATCCGTCAAAGAAAATCACAGATCTTCCCAGGACCCGTCTACTGGCCTGTCAGCTTTCCGCAAATCGATTCAAAGCTACCAACTTTCGGTAGCGGCTGAAGACATCATCATGTCATCATGGCGAAGTACAACTAAAAGACAATATGAGGTATACATTGCCAAATGGATGGACTACGCAGGTTGACGAGTATCGATCCCTTTTCACCCCCTTTGGGAACTGTTTTAGACTTTTTGACAGAAGCATATCACAAATGGGCAGGGTACAGCACGATTAATACTGTGAGGTCTGCACTCTCAGCCTTCATTTCTATAAATGGACAGCCACATTACCGACTATTAAAAGATTTGTCAAAGGTGTGTTTCAACGAAGACCAGCATTAGCAAAAAATCTGGTGATTCGGGATCCTCAGATTGTAATGGAGTATATAAAAAGTATAATAGTGAAGGATGCAACACTGAAAATGCTGTCTATGAAAACAGTGATGTTGTTGGCATTGCTTTCAGCACAGAGGACACAGGCATTGCATTTAGTGGATATACGAAATGTGACATTAACTAAAGACAGTGCTAAAATCCGATTCGGGGATGTATTGAACAGACCAGACCCGGTTTTCACCAGGCAGAGCGCCTTTTGCCAGCCTTTGCGGAACAGGAGCTGTGTACAGTTCATACACTTTCTATTTACATAGAAAGAACCAGGACGATAAGCAAAGACACCACTCAACTTTTCATAAGCTACCAGGAACCACATCGAGCAGTGTCTAAGGCCACTATAGGAAGGTGGGTCAGATGTGTCCTTGGTAGTGCAGGGGTTGATATGACTATCTTCACCCCACACAGCACTCGTAATGCAGCCAACTCAGGAGCATCAAGGGGTCATGTCCCAATTCCAACTATTCTGAAAACAGCAGGATGGAATTCCACTAGTGTTTTTGGATTTTTTTAAAACAAGCCTTTGGTACAACACGCAGGACTGTTACCAAGTGTCCCTGCCCCATAGATATTGCCTAGTGACAGTACTGGAAAGAACAGTTTAGTGTAATGTATATAGTGTAAATTTACATGTTTTTCATGTGGAAACTGTAATAACTCTATACTAGAACTAAAACATTCAAAATGGACAGTGTATGGTATACATTTACTTGTGTTTCATTCATTATGGAGTGACAAGAACTGTTTACAACTTTATGCGACTGTGCAGTCGATATCTCGTTTGTTTTAACATGTGTGTATTAAGTTTATTACACAGGTTACATTGGCTTTCTGTGTTTTTGTCTTTTTTTCTGGGTTTAATTTACCAGTTAGGAAACACTCTCTTTGAACAACTCATGTGACCCCTTTTACCGACAGGGGAGAGAACAGAATTGTTAAATTAATGGAGACTTACCTGTAAGTTAAAATTTGATGTAAATTCTGTTCTCTCCTCTGCAGGTATATAGGGGTTACATCCCACCCTTTTTATTACCCTCCCTTTGTCTTTAGTTTATATATATTGTGGAGGTTTAAACTCTGGGACGTTTGAGTGCAATATCTCTTGATCTTTTTAGTTATTGCCAGGGTCTGGTGCACTAGTGTTAACCAGTGCACATTAAGTGTTTCCTCACTTCTTTGAATTATGACTGTACGCATGCGCACGCATCTCATGTAACCCCTATGTACCTGCAGAGGAGAGAACAGAATTGACATCAAATTTCAACTTACAGGTAAGTCTCATTTAATTTAAAAATTAATCTAAAATAACTAATCATACGAGATATTGTAAAAACGTATCGGACACATACCAAACAATATTCCGTGGGTGAAAAGGAGAAAATCGATACTTGGTGCCATACTTCCAATAGCGTAGGCCAAAGTAGCGATAAATGCTCCACAGAGTACAGACTGACGTGGACTTATGTGCCGGAGACCTACTGCCATGATGGGGAGGGCTGTAACAAATTTATATAAATCAGGAAACTGACTCTTATCAAGCAGGGAAGAATTTCAGATAAATAATGACATGCATCAGGGGGATGAAACCGAGAATAATTCAGGTAGAAAGTTGATTCTTACTGATATGTTTTATGTGTGGATATCAAATTGCATAAATTCTGTGGAAATTGTCAGGGAGATATGAAACATTTTAATATTATCTAGGGCAATGAAAAAAAAAAAAAGCAAGAGGTCCCAAGGGCCTGTATTGCTCATATGTTCCTACATTTCTTGTTGACCCGAAGAATTAAGAATACCTGGTCAGTATAATCACTAAGACATTTGTTCGAAAGTTCTGGACCATGTGAGAGTCTATAAAGCAACAAAGATGAAAACACACTAGTATATACACTACAGTATATATATGTCTATAAGACGACTGAATCATACTTATATGAAAAAGGTATGCCTTAGATGTTCGGATACAGATCATGGAGATGTCTAAACCATGATGGTTAAACAAGCAGGGGATGTATCAAAAAGCCATGAATTGGGCTCGTTCAGCTATAAATCGGATTACATCCATTAGCGCATTTATAGTTTAGTGCATAATGTCATATGATACCTAATAGAGATATAATAGTAAAGCACACAAGGGTACATAATAGACCTGTTAAGGCAATCGTAAATCATATACTTCAGAATATAGGTGTTTATAGGTGGTGTTTTACTTCAGTATGAGCAACATAGAAAACGTGAAAGGTGCTAAATTAATAATCTTAAAATATGGTATTTGTAAATAAAAAAAGCCAATTAGTACCGGGTATGCACTACCATACATTGTGGAAAAAGTGTATGAAAAAAGTTAAAATATGTTTATTTCAGTTATATGAAGACCCATGCTGAAATGTATAACAGAGAATACTCAAATATTAATATATGAAGGAGAGCAAATTCAGGGGGTCATCTCAAAATAGTCTTATTGT